TAAAGAGTTAATAAAGGGTACTTTTAATCCTTCTCATCTGCAGTTACTATACATACAGTTGGCACTTAGAAGTTAGATTAGTAGACCTTACAAGATTAAAAGTTAGTTTCCATTTTAATTATTAAAATTTGAGTTATAATACTTTGCTTAAAAATTTTAGTGTGAAATTCGGCCCTGTTTAAGAGAGATCAATTTCTTTATGGTCTTATTTCACTTAGTTTCAGCTGTAAATTAGAATCCATTTAATTTTTGTTCTGTGTTTATTTTTCAAATATAACATGGAATAAAATCCTTGTTCACACAAATAGGTTGCGTAAAAATGCAACAAAAATTTAATAACTCTATTTGAAATGCCTTTAAATTCTCTTTTTCAGTTCAGCCAAAAGTTAATGAGTGTGTTATTTTTCAAATTTTCTGTTAGAGTTCGATCAAAGGAAATATCTTTCAATTGTTCTTTTTCTTCATGAGATAAAATTTCAGGTACACTGAAAAAAAAAATGGGACAGTTCTATACCTCCCGCTCTATTGGGCCAATTTATGAAATTCAAATTGAGTTTTTTATATCTCAAAAGCGGGACTTAGAATATGTATTAGACTTATATATAGCACTGTTCTAATGCAGGCATTTTGACATAAAATCGGACTTTTTCTGAAATGACATGACAATTTTTTTGCATATTTCAATTCTACAACTCAAATATGCCAAACTACCAAGTTTTGTAAAACTTGCATGAGTAGTTTTTAAAAAATTAGCTCTCAACATTAATTGAGTTTGGTATATATTTATTAATCTCTTTTTTTTTATTAAGCTTATTTTATTCTTCCTTTCAGATTTCAAAATCCAGGTTCATTCCAAATAAAGTTCACATATTTTTTTATGATTTATTTTTAAATAATTTTTATAAATTTTTCGAAAAAAAATTTTGTATTATAATCTATAAAATTTTTACCCCAATGAAAAAGGTAGGAATAAGGTGCCTTTTTTTCCGCCCTGTCATAATGGAAGTATTTCAGAAAAAGTCTGATTTTGTGTCAAAATACCTATGTTAGAACAATGCTATGTAGAAATCTAATATATATCCTAAGTCGCACTTTCGAGACATGAAAAACCCAATTTGAATTTTATCAATCAGCCCAGTAGAATGGGAGATATAGAATTGTTCCATTCCCCCCCCCCACAGTGTACATTAGAAAAAATTGAACTCTAATCCAATTTTCTTTTTCATAATCCTTGGGGGAAATATATATTAGAATTATTTATCAATGAAAAACAATGATTTTTAATGTCGAATGCTATTTCTTTTCTTTCTATTTTCAAATTATTTTCTTTTAGAAAACTTTCTAAAAGTGGTAAAAAGCTTAAAATATCATTATCCAATTCTTTGATTATTAGCTTGAGTTTTTTTTATCATTGCATTTATTTTATCGCTAATGCTAAACAAATTAGCACTTAGTTCTTCTAATCCTAAATTTAATTAATTTAACTTTTCAAAAATATCAGCTAAATATGTTAAATGTGCCAACCATAATTCACTAAATAAACACTTTTGCAATTCAGATTGTGAATCACAGAGGAAAATCTGAATTTCTGATCAAAGTTCAAAAAGATGACTTAAAACTTTGTCTCTGGATAACCACCTTACTTCGGAATGTAGCAAAAGCATTTCATGTTCACTGCCCGTCTCTTGGCATAAAATCGTAAATATTCTTGAGTTTAAACTCGGCTTTTAATAAAATTAACGATTTTCACAGTTTGTTTGAAAATGATTTTTGGGTTTTCAGGAATTGTTTTGACTACTAAAGCTTCACAATGAATGGAGTAAGTAAATTTAGTTTCAGGTGCGTTCTTTTTTATTTGAGAAATAACACCAGAATATTTTCCTGTTAAAGCCTGAGCTCCATCACTGCATACGGCAATGCACTTATTCCAACGAATATCATTTTTAGACTTAAAATTGTCAATTACTTTGAAAATTTCATTTGCAATTGCTCTGTCATGAAGAGATTTATAAAACATATACCATTCGCCATTCGTTTATTTTTCTTTGAAACGTATGTGAACTAATAATTGAGCAAATTTCATTACATCAGTATTTTCATCCAATTACAATACAAAATACTCACTATGTTTTATTTTTTGAATTAGTATCTCTTTTATGAAATTTGCCATTTCTTGAATTCGTCAACCTACTGTATCATTTGATAACGGGATATTATTTAGTTCATTAACTGCTTGTTTGTTGAATAATGTTAAAACAATATCTTTATCTGCTGGTAATATAAGGTTTTCTTCAATAGCGTGAGCTTGCCCAGTCTTGGCAATTCTTAGGCTTACTAGGTAACTAGCTTTGAAAGCTTTTTCACTTGAAGTAACAAAACCTTTCATTGCTTGTTTACTATTTTTGAACTCCGATAATTTTCTCTTAAAATATTCTTCAGATTTATCCTTTAAATTGGCATGCTTAGATTCAAGATCTCTTTTAAGAAACAATGGTGTCAGGTTAATAGTTCATTGGAAACAACGCACTGAGGTTGAACATCCATTTCATCTCCATTCCAAGTAAACCTGGATGATAACTAACTTTCATTATATTTTTTACAAATAATTTTTTTCCCCCAGTATTCTTAGTGCTAGTAGATTGTACTGGATCCATCACCTGTGAATCGTCAATATTTCACTTAGTCAATCCTAACCATTTTTCTGTTTTAAAAATCTAGGTTTGTTTTATTATTTTTTCACAAATATTTAATTGCACAGTATATGAGTTCTTCAGAAACAGATGATAATATTCTCAAATTGCATAGAAAAGTAAGGAATAGAAAGAACAAGAAGACGCTATACCTGCTATTAAAGGCAGCAGATAGAAGTAAAAAAAAAAAAAAAAAAAAAGGTTCCCAGAAAGGGTGACAGCATAAAATGCAGACATGCTAACTAATCAGTCATCTCTAGAAGAATTAACAATATACTATTATCTTTTTATTGAAACTTATTTTTATTTTCTATTAAATACAACATCTATTTCTATTACTCCTTTTAAAAACATCATTTATGACAAATTTTGTTATGTCTATGGCTCTAAGGATATTTGCAAAAATAAAAATGGATTATTTTGCTGAAGTCTATGAGCAGCTATTGACTTTGAACAAAGCTCAGATTGCATAAATTTGAGTGTTAGAGAAAAAAACTTAAACAGGATGTTGGGGTATTCAGTTTTTCAATTTTATATGAGGACATTTAAAAAAGTAAAGATACAATGGCTCGCATTCCTTAAAAAAAAATTTATTTAGAAAATGTCAGTTGCATCTTATTAACTGGATTATTTATTATTTTTCGACATAAATCACCCCCGTTATCCAAACATTTGTTAAGTCAGGTGTACAAGCTTTTGTATCCCACAAATCATAGAATGTTGCCGCCTGTTGGAACCCAGCATGCGCACACTATTTCCTGTTACCCTAACTTGACAGTCACAACTTCATAAAGAGTTGTCATTGAACACTTCCGGTATGATCCTGATGCAATTCTTTCGAATTTGAGACATCTATTCGTACGAATTGCTTCTTCAGTTCTCTGAAGAAGGGCATCAGAGATCACAGATGGCTGACCTATTCTTTGTTCGTCATGAACATTGGGTCCTACCTTCAGAGAAATGAACGACACCATTTCGTTACATTTTGTCAATTCATAATGTTCCCATAAACAGAAACAATTTCTTTGTGAATATCCGCTGGTCGCTGACCTTTTGCATGAAGAAAACGTATGACGGAACGCACTTCGCGTTTGGCGGGATTCTGAATCGGCGCAGCCAATTTAAACACAACCTACTCCAACCAAAATCAACGTTGAAATGCCGAATGACCATGAGGAGAAAGCTAACGGTTCAAGGTTAACACCTGTGTTGCCAACTTGCTCACCAAAACTTTTCTTTTCCTCTGGCGTACAGTGTATCTTTACTTTTCGAAATGCCCTCGTAGTTAAAAATAGTTTGCATATATACTATTTGCATACTACCTATTTTACTCTTGCGTACCACCAACTGAGAATTGCTGCCTAAGTGTGTTTTATCATAATCAACTAAATCAAACCAATTTGTTTTACATAATCATGGTTAAACCATAGTGATGCAGTGTGAGAAACTGTAATGAGAATATCCATTCAAAAGTAAGATTGTTTAAGGGCTGCAGAGCTGCATTTATGGCTGAACTCTGGTTCATTTACCACTGGTTGAGAGAATTAACATCTGTTGGATGGAGAAACGAACAGCTGGTTATGACCAACAACACAGTGATAGATTGAAATAATTATTTGCAGGAAGTTTTTACTGACAGCATTTTAAATAAAGCTTACTAATAAAAATCAAACGGCCTAACAAAATAATGGAAATTGACAAAAGTTTTTTTGTGAAGCGGAAAAATAAAGTAGTTCGAAAACTTCCATAGCAATAGCTATTTGGCGAGTTTTACAGAGAGACTGAGGAATATTTTATTGTAAGAGGTGCAGTTAGAAGTTTGGCTCAGAATTCTGCTGGAATCTCTGATGCAACTTTGGCAGGGTCTTCGTCAACTTTTATGGTTAAGTGGTGGCCAACTTTCACATTTGACAGTATAGTACGAGTACATAAGTACCCAATATTGTAATCGGTATGTGTTCAACCATTTTGAAAGCTTTGCTTTTAAAACTGAAAACCTGATTTGCTTTGACATTTGATTATTATGTTTATATTCTGAACTGTCAAAATTTCATTTAAGACCCCTCTGAATAAAACTCCATTTAAAACGTTTTAAACAGGAATTTTCTTGAGCAGAAAAATTTTAGTTTTATGAGATTCAAATAGGATGATTTAAAACAAATATTTTAAACAGATAAATTTTCTTAATTAGGAATTTGAGTTCTGTGTCAAATTTTTTTTATTAAATATGCCCTTTAAAAAGAATGCAGATATAATTCTCATTTATCAGAATATTTTTTGCCTTATAATTTTACTTGTGCTTTCTTTTAGGTCTATGAGACGTTTTGCGATTGCATAAAAAGTTTTTTCACAGAATTTCACTTAGATGGGGAAATGATTTCAGCTGGTAATAACTGAACTGATTTGCTTAGTTGAAATTTTTTACTGAATTTTATTTTCTACACATAATTTTATATTAATTAAATTTCTTGTGCAGTTATATTATTCACTTGTTTTATTGTAGAAAGAATTGATATCTATGATATATTTGGATTATTGCAGGTTTCTGCACAGATTTATTTATGGTGCAGTTTAATTTAGATACAGCTTTTATTCCACATTTCGTCAAGGATTCAAATTATAATACAAGTCAAAGGGATATTAAGTCATCATTTGAACGAGTCTTGTGCAAAAGTATTTATCAGGTAAATGTTCTTTAAAATCATAATTTCAGTGTTGAAAACCCCTGTTTCTTCTATTTATATGATTCTGATTTAAGTACTTGTAAATGTAGCTCATAAAAACAGTTATCTATTTCTATCTGATTGTCTAATTGTGTATGAATGTAATAAAGTTAATTCAATAAAAAGGGATTTATTGGACATTTTTATAGAGATAATAATAAAAAAAATACAGAATGTTGTTAAAAGATGTAAGTTAATCAAATATATATATATTCAAAATAAAGTAATTAAAAGTAAATTAAAAAGCTTATGACTTGTGCTAAAACTGCAAAGCAATAAACCAATAATTTATAATAAGAAAAATTTCCATATACCATCTCATAGGAACACAAATTCAATTAAAATCATGATTTTTTTTAAGTCACAAATTAAATTAGTATTTTAAATAGTAATTTCAATCTTCTTGTTTAAAAATATAAAAATCTGCTAAGAAAAATCTTTAAACGTAAAAGTACCGAAACCAGAAGTAAATAGTTAAGTATTGAAAAAGCAGCTGTCATCATTGATCACAGATTAGTCGACTTACCAAGGGGATAAACCAATCTACCATCAATTAACAATAACTAAATTAATAGAGGGTGTTTCATCTTACTTCCAAGTAAGCATCAAATTATTTGCTAAATCCAAGCCATAATCATAATTAATACTCAATCCAAATAAAGACATTAGTCCATTTAAGCCAAAAGAATCCTGTTAAACAAAATAGCAATTAATTTTACTTAAAATTAAAGTTTCTCATTAAGAACACAATTAATCTGAATGAGATGCTTACTTTCTCATTTTCACACTCAAAAACAGAAATAAACATATTAGGACATTAAAAGTTAATTCAAAATCATAAGAAGATCAAAAATGATGCATTATTAAAGTTTAAAAAAAGTAGTTGATTTATATATCAGTAAGTAACTAAAGGAAATTAAAGAGGGTGATAGAAAATTGATTTATCTTTTCTTTCATCAGGGAGTGAAGACAAAGCAAATCACAAGCTGTATTATAAGGTTAAATGAAATTTGTCCTAATTTAACTTTCTAGACTGCTTCACAAATCCTCATCTCAAGATTTAAATACCAGAATACTAAGTAAATACAACAGTATAACATACTAGTTAAAGGATTTATTTGAACTTCAGTTTGAAGTTACAGAATTAAACAGTAAATGACATTAACTTCTGCTTTTTATAGTATGGATAAATAACAATGATTCAAAATTTTTAGGAGTTTAAAACTTCTAACAAACTAGCTTCTGCTGTTGCATAAATACTAAGTTTTCAATCAAAGGCACTCACTAGTTCATAATAACAGTGATGACAGGAGTTTCATGTGGCATGCTGTTGCCTACCTATTCTCTTAAATGCAAATTCTTATTTAAAACTTTCTTTGTTTACACTGGGGGGGGGTTATAAAATTACTTTCCCTGCTTCAAGGCATCTGCAGCTAAAACTAATGAATGGAATTATACTAAATTTTTTATACAGACTGTGAAAGGCAATGAGAGATCAATTCTAGGAGGTGGGGAAAGAGAGTGTCAAAAGTGGCCTATGAAAGATATTTTGGTGCTGTTGAATCATAAACAGTTGATAATTGCAATGAATACATAGAAAATTGATTACACAAAATTTCATTAACCCTTTGCGGCGAACTATACTTTAAAATCAGAATTTCAACAAAAAAAACGTTTCATGCAGTCTATTTAGGGCTAAAGGAATATACAAATAAAATTTTGTAAAAATTGTGCTTGCCGTGCATCTGAGCTCTTAAAAGTGCAACTAAATGAGCATTGCAATGAAGCACGAAAATGAGTAGAAGCGTTTGTATAAGAATGAAAAACACTGTATTATGGCTATATACATGGTTTCCTGGATATACACAATATTTTTGAATATATATGGATAAATAAGATAAATATATATACACAAGTCCTATATACAAAAATATTTACAAATTTTTCAATTTCTTAGCTTCGCGAAATTGTTCAAAGCATGTCACACAGTTTTGATGGAAGCACAAAACCAACTTTGCAGGCTTTGCACATAAAACTTGTTTTGTGCGGCTTCTGCTTCGTGCTGCAACATGCACATCGTCTATACGTACCCTTCACCGGTATGTGTTCAACACTACTGTAGCGTTTCCCCCCCGGAAACCTTTACTTCTAGGTCGAAATTACCTAGAAGTATCTTCAGGTCTTGAAGGAAGTCACCTCTTCAAAGTTGTTATCTCTAATGCTTTCATGGCACAGGGGGAACATGGCAAATTTAAACAGAAATCTTTGGCTGTATTTATTTCAGCTCCAGTTAGCATTTTTTGTAGTATGTAACTGTTAATTACAGCTACATCTATAAAATGCAAAAAGATTCCTTGCCACCACTTTTTGCTTTTATGATCTATTTCGTAAAGTGGTACTAGTTGATCAAATTTGTCTACGAATCCCATTTTCATATTATAAGTTGAAACTGGTTTTGGGCAATTTATGTTTACTTTTGTGCTGTCTTTTTCTTTTTGTTCAATTTGAATTTGAATAACGGCATCAGGAAGGGAAGACAGGATTGTGACACATCTCTTATCCTTCCATTTGAGGCAAATTAGATTGTCAATACTGACAGCCCAGTCAAATACGCCGCTTTTCAACTCCTTGTCCTGGTCAAGCAGAGACTTGGGTAAATTTTTTCTGCGTATCATGGCAGTTTTACAGGCATATATATTTTTGGTTTCCAAATAGCAAAAAAGTTCGTATGTTGTAAAATAATTGTCCATGAATACCCGGTGATTTTTGCCATTCAGGCATTCTGTCAATCTTTTCACCACATTCTTTCCCAGGTTTTTCTCTACAACTTCCTTTTTGCCTGAATAAATCTCGAACTGGGATGCGAAAGTGCTTTCATCATACCTCATCCATACTTTGAAACCATGTTTTATTGATTTCTTGGGCATGTATTATTTGATTGTGCTACGCACCTTGAATTTGATCATTGACTCATCTATTGACTGATTTTCACTGGGATGCAGAGCATCTAAAAAACTCTTCGATGGATAATCTAATAATAGCGGCACTTATACAGATGGTCGAAATTTGCATCGATCCTTTTCGGCTCAAGCACATTGTTGTTTAGGTGCAAATTGCCTAGAATCCATGCTAACCTTCTTCATGACGTATAACAGCAAATGAATTTGTCTCCAAGGGCTTTGTTATTTGCCCAGTAATCCTTGTAACTTGGCATTCTCTTTATGCCCGTAAGCAGATTGATTCCCAGAAATATATATAATTCAACTAAAGTGAGTGGTAAGAAAGGTTTACTTTTTTGTGTCACATAGAGATTTGTTTGGAAAACTATGTGTTCCATCAGTGAAGTGAAGCAAATCTCTTGGGAAAACTGCTAATGGTATTTTCTCAGGTAATTCCCATAGCTTTGCATTTGGCCCACTTATCAGTGTAAATTCCGGAAGTATCTTTTGCAACCTCTGTTTAGAATTCCAAGTAGGAACTTGAGACTGAGTAGAGAGGCCTGGTTGAGATGATCATCAACCTCCTCATCAGATAAATGAGTTTCATCTGACATATCATTATCGGATTGCACAAATGGTCAGGAGCGTATACCTCAGTATCGCTGCTATCCTCACGATCTGATTCAGAATCCGAGGGTAATTCATGAAACACTTTTAGCACTTCGGAAAGAGTTAGACCTCTCCGCGCCATTTATGAAAAATTAATAATAAAAAAATTAACTACGATTAATATTAACAATAAAGAAAAATAAGCTATGATATATACATACATGAAAAATATCTACACAATTATTGAAAATAAACAGGAATGAGACTAAAAAGCGACAGCAAAAAATTCGTGCAGGTTTAAATAAAGATGACTCAAGCTACTGATAAAATTCCTACCTGAAAACTACTCCCAAAAAATTCGAGATATCCATATTAGGACTTGTATAACACAAAACACACTTCACCTTTCAATACTGCTTTGTTTGAATTCATTCCCCCAAAAACAACAGAACAGAAAACGTAAACAACGGATGTTCTCTCCTAAACACAGATGTTCTGATTCGTAACAACATGAGATCGCTAAAGGCACAGTGTTCTTGCTAATGGAACACCCGATTTTATTCAATGATTCTGTGTATGGTTTTTGTATAAAAAATTTTAAAAAATATAGAACAAATAATTTAGAGTACAGCCAGCAAAATTATGCGCAATTTTTTTTTTCAAATTTTTTTTGTATCATTAAAAAATAGAAAAAATTACTTGAAAATAAGTGGATTTTAATAACACATAATAAAGGAAAATTCTGTGTCTCCTTGTGATATGCTGCTATCTACTGCTTAAAAAGAAAAGTTCAAAGTATATTTTAAAGACATTTTTATCTATTTACGGTTGAATTTAAAGGTTTCAGAAGCGATTCAAGTTGGGTGTTCCATGTAGTGGAACACTGAGCAACAAAGGTTAATAAAAGATGCACATACAGAAAGAAATGAACTATAGTATGAAATTCAGAGAAAATAATGTGTTTTTAACCAACATTAGGGTCTCTGGATCACATTCAATGTTTGTGGTGTGCTGTCTTCTCTGTATGTATGATATAGAGTATGATGTTCTGTGTGCTTAAATTATTAATGTGGATGTTTGTAACAACCCATCTTATATTCTCTTTTAAGAAACCCAGGTTTATAATGTCGCAAATTTAATATACCGCCATAACCCAATAATTTAATGTACCGCCATAACCAAAAGTCACGTGAAGTGATCTCCTGAAAACAAGGCAGCCAGTCTGTCAGAAAATATTGGCTGATAACTTTCTCTTTATCAAAATGTTGCAGTAAAAGTTTCTGCTCTGAAAAAAAAAAAGAATATGTGGCCATGCTCCATCTTGTGTAAAACATCATCTTTGCTACAATTTCAAAATGACAAAATTTGCTGTGTTTGCTGATTTTTCTTGTCAGTTATGGAGCAGGCAACAGG